TAGAATTATCCTGCAGAATAATCACTATTCTACCCAGCGTCAAGCACCCTACAAAATCTTTCAGCATATTTTTAATTGTTGTGAATTTCTTTTGTAATTATTTCTATTTAGTGAGCACTTGAATGTATATGTAATTCTTTCTCTCTGTGTATGAGTCTAGTTTAATAATAAAAGATTTTGCACTACTAGAACTTTTACTATCACTAGTCTTTGCCCGTACCATGCACGGATTGTGTTATTTTAAAGGTAATGTTAGCGTGTTTAATAATAAGGATTAATGAAAGATATGTGCACTGATTGAATAAAAGATGATGGGTAAATGTACATGTTCGGATGTATTTTAGACAATAGAAGGAAATAATTATACATCAACTAGGAATGAATTATACTGAGTTTGTCAGAGAGGCTAGATCTTTGACATGTGCGGATATTTTTCTACATTCTTCTAATTGTTCCTGGCCTCCACAAAGTGATAGCATACTCTTATGAAGTGGAGTACCATGGTTTCCAGGAATCCAAGTTGTAGAACTATGCTTGCATCTTCCTAGAGGCATGGCAGCATGAGATTGATTTTAGCCATGCAATTCAAGATTTTAGGAACATCAAATCTGTCAAAGATTATGAAACAAAATGAGATCAACAAATACAAGGATCCTACTTCATGCTGTCTAAGAAAAATTTCAAAATCAAGCATCAATGAAGCTGAAATAATAACAAGTAGTTAACATCATAATCAGAAGGTTGTTCAATATTTTATGCATATATTTCCATATAAACGTTGGAAGGAGGGATTAGGGAATGTGTGGGGGGAAGAGATGTCCGCAAATATACTTCATTTCCTTCTTTTTTCTTCTATTTTTTTTATCCTTGTTTATTAGTCAGTACTTCCCGGATTTACTCCTAAATAATTTTGCAGACTTAAATTAGCAAATCTCTTTCCAAGTAAATCTTTCATCAATTGTAAATAATATTCTGGACCTCTTCAAATGTCGTTGTTTCCACAGCTCCCATCAGATTCAAGAAAAAGAAAATCTTTTAGAACAACTAAAAATAAATCTCCATTTAATGCTTATATTTTGTCAATCAAATAGAATCACACTTCATTTTGCATAGCAATAAGCATATTCTTTAGTTAACTGATAACAAGCTGACTCAATACTTTGGAACATGCGACGCCACATCAAGAACCAAATCAGAATATAATTTGATAGACCTGGCAGTTGGTGAATTACACGTTACACGATACTTTGGAACATGCGATTTTTTGATACGGTAATTTTAGGCCCGTGCAATGCAATGTAATGTTAGCATCTTTAATGTTGAACTAAGTTCAGCAACTAAGCAAGAAACCAAAAAGTTACGAAGACAAACCACGTCACTAAATCTATCATCATGAAACTATCAAAACTTGGCAAGTCGACATTGAAGCTGAACTAAAAATCCCATCACAAAGGATTGCAGCTGAGGACCATAGTTTACAATGTAGTTTCCTTCATAGAAAGTATAAAGCAATAAATACAGATAGCAATAAACAATATAAAATTAAACGAAACGCCAATCAGTTAGAAGCAATGAGATTGTGCTTAGAATCTTGTAGCATGACCATGCATTGGCAAACTCAATATTACGGTTAACCAGAAACCTTCGTTAGTGGAGATGTGATGATAAAATTTACAATCATGTCAAACAAAGGCAATTAACCATAATAGCACAAGAACCTTCATTCCTTAAAGACAACAGATATAAGATATTTTCAGTTCACACTCTTAAATCTCCATCCCATGTACACTTAAACCCTAAAAAATCAGAGGAATTTTAAAATTTCAAACCCTTTATATAAAGAACTCAATGGGACAAAAATCGGATATATGAGCATGATTTATCCAAACACCTAATATGCATGTTATACGCATCTAAGGCAGATGAGATGCTGGTGATCAGCTTGTATTCAACAAAGGATAAGTTCATGAACTCATAGTTTGAAAAAACGTAAACGGGTGCTGAGACCTTTTTTTGTCATGAGGCGAAGCGTAAGCCTCAAAACGTTTTGAGACATAAGCCTCTCCACAAACAAATAGGGGCAATCTGTCGAACAGAACAAGTGCAATCTAGCGTCGATGCACTGAACAAGAAAAAAGTCAGGCAAAGTCTAGTGAAACAATTTTAAATTGTAAGTCACTAGCAGAAGGCAGAAGCAAAGGAGAAAAGAGACATAGAAGCAGCACTTGAGGACTTCTTTTAAACGAATGATTGAAGATAAGTTTTCTGACTACCGTTTAGTTCTGGGAAGATTTCTGACTGCCGTGTAGTTCTGGCCATCTAGGAAGATTTCTGTCTACCGTGTAGAAGGATTTCTGGCTGCCTTTTGGTATTCTAGATATTTTAATATTTTGTTTGGCCCAAAATGTCTTTTTAAATGAGCCTTCTCTTTTTTAAAGATGGCCTTTTTTAATTCTTTTCCAAAAACCCCCAAAAAAACATACTTCAAACGAGGTGCACGCCTCATTTTTTTGCCTCAGATATAGAGGCGTGCGCCTCATTTTTTTTGTCTCACAGATTGAGCCTCGAGGCACAGAAACTGCGCCTCACAGTGAGGCGGGCCTCAGCAAGGTTTTTTCATACCATGCATGAACTTAGTTCCTCTGGCAAACAATCAGACATTTATACACAGAAAATGTCACATGAAATCATATCCATTGGTTTCGCAAGCCCGCGCATAATTAAATAATTTCATGAGGGAAATTTTGCGAATAGGTTTCTCTTGTAAACCTGTGGGAAAGACTTATTGGCATTAGACGGGATGCCGTACTCATATATCTTTCTGCCATTGGAATTTTGTTTATCGACTGATGATGGGGTGTGAGGCTTTGGGCATTATTAAAAAACTTAGACTTGTGATTTAGGGGCGTAGACCTTAATCCCAATAATATTACACTAGGGTTATCTTTACAACTTCTAATTTTAAACTCACAAAGTGTAAATTGGAAAATCCCAACAGAAGACAAAAACATCACCACCTCTAACAATATTAAACCCCACAGTCCAGCAATTAAAACCCATAAATTAGCAATTGAAAAAATCCATCAAAGGAAAAAGTTACCTCTCCACAGCCCAACAATTGAAACCCATAAATAAGCAAATAGTCAAATCCAGCAGAGAAAAAAAATTACCTCTACCACTAATATTGAATACCACGATCAAGAAACAGAATCACTAGGAACCCAGGTCCCCGACCCACAAACAATAACCCCGACTATTCGAATTTGCACTGGCCAGCACTCCAAAATTGTCTCGAAATAACACCCAAAGTAAGATTTACAAATTAAAAGGCTCGTGCAGACAAAATCTAATGGCTCACCGAAGATCTTTGTTTCCCTTCCAAAACGAAGCAAAGGAAGATAGACTGCTAGGGTTTGTGTTGTTCGAAGAACCGTCACAACCACTCCAGAAATTTACAATATTAAAAACAACCAACGATTACTATGCAACATCTCACTAAAATTATCACAGGATGGTAAATGTTTATGTTGCCGAAGAAGACAGGAAGATGACATACCTCACGATTTCAAGGTATAAAATCGAACAAAAAGCACACACCAACACTATGAGATAAACATAGTTTAGGTATTTTAGGTTCAATCTCTTCAAGAATTAAAAACAAAAGAAGAAAAAAGAAAATTGATTCAACGCTGCAGCTCAAAAATTGGAAGAAATCTACACAAAAGGAGGACTGACTAAGACTCCTACTCCTAGAAGGTCTCTATCTCAACTATACTCCTAAATTATAAGTGCACTTGCAATTATAGTACAAGTAAGATACTCTTCTCAAGTAGAACTCTTACATATAAGAAAATTCAACTAATTCAGTTATATTAGGAGTGCACTGTCTCCTAAGAGGATTATACTACCTACCCCTTTAAATATGGACCCTCAGCTAATTATTCAGGTATGTTTTATAACTTTCCAACATATTTCTTCTTGCACACTTGTCTGACTTAAGCATTGGAGGGGCGACGAGAACACACTTCGACACCTTTGTTTCAGGTATTCGAGATCGGATCACGTGGAGCTCATTCATCCAGTTCGGGTCTACCCAGGTACGATTTTTGACATCATCATTGGCGCCGTAAGT